AAATAAATTTTATTAATTATCCTCACAAAACGATTACAAATAACATGAGTGGTTTGGTATTTTCAATAAAAAAGTTTAAATTCAAACAGTAATAAAAAAAATTAAACATTTCAATTTGAATGTCAATAATTCAAATAACGAAATACTAGTCAAAAAACAAATGCCAAAATTAAGTGGACTAACTATTGGTATTATAATTATTGAGTGATTGATAATTAGTTGAAAATAAAAAAACAAGTATTTAAAAAATAAACGAAATCTGATATGTAGTGAAAAATGTTTGCATGAAATGAACGCTTAGTAAACTTCGACTGAGTGGACAGAGTTCTCGATGGAAAGGATCTTTATTTTGATGAGAAACGAGCCATCGATGGCCTGATCCAACTTCTTCTCCAAATTATCAGCACTTAGTTTCGTGGAATCGACTCTGCATTTGATGGCAATGGGTGCCACAGAAGAGACACTCATTTCGGGTGTCAATTGCATGAGAGAACTCGAGTCAATGACTTCTTCGTTGCCGAAGTCGATGTACTGGACTCTGCACTGGTTTCCGGTCACTTCGAGGACAACCGCGCGATACGTCTCGTTGTCTGCAATCATTGAATAAATAGATTTCAATTATCAATCCAATAAAAAGCTATAGTATTATAGGCATCATACCGGCGATGGCACGCGCCAAATACACTTCGCCCACCACTGGAGTCACGCGAGTCCTGTCGTCGAACTTAGATCCCAGTGAAGCACACAATGACATCATATTCTCGAAGTCTTCACCTAAATAGACAACAATAATAAGCAATCACTTCAATGACAGCAAACCTCATACCTTCGGCGGCGATGAAGAACACTTTGGGATCCGATACCTCTTTGAATAAAGCCATCGCTTCAACAGTTTTATTAATCTTCACCGAACGGACGGACAGTTGAGCGAAATAATCGATTGACTTATTGTTTGGTTGAGTGGACTCAGTGTTGGACTGAGTGGTGGCTTTGATGGGCTCATTGAGTGACTGTTTGATGGAATCAATGAACGCATTGAAAGGCAACACTTCATACAAATGGTCGTCGCATTGGGCAAAGAACTTGTCGTCCCGTTTGACATAAGCGCCCCTAAGGATAGACTTATCCAATTTAGCCGTCTTTCTGAGCAATTCTGAGGCTTCTCTGGAGTCGGGCACCAGAATGACACCAAATGAGGGCGCCTTCAGGTATTTGGCTTTGATCTGATAAATGCGTGAGAAGTCCACGTCAGAGATAATTGAGTCATCGATTAGGAAAACTTTAGCGCTCTTTGAATGCACTTCGAGGACATACGCCCGGAAGTACTGGCCGTCAGGATATTTGGCAACTATTAAATCCTCGGCTTTGGGCACAACCGGCAGTTCATTGATATAGTCTTCTGGCAGGGAGTGAATAATGCGTCCAATACTGGGGTCAAAGATTGTAGCCAAATGGCGCTCATTGTCGCCAATGACGGCATCATTGATGACCAGATCTATGTCAGTGTTGTTGTGCTTGTATTCGAGGAATGACTTCATCTCTCCATTGGATGACTCATCAAAATTCAATCGCTTCGACAGCCCATCGGTCACATCACTCACCGAAGACTTATTGAAAGTGACTTTCGGTGAGCCCTCGACTATCATAAGAGAATCATCACAATTGTTGGCCTCCTTTATAGGGCTCTTGAGTTTAGACACCGAGTGATTGGTGGGCGGAGGGCTTCGAGTCCTCTCTCTGGTCGGGACGGACGGCAGCGACGCGTTTGTCGACGAAACCACTCTCGGAGTGTTGTCCACAGCGTCCGCATTGCAGATCTTTTTGTGATTAATCCAATCACTTGACTGGCATTTGAGGCCACAATAATAAGTAGTCTTGCATTGAGAGCACAACTTTATGTTTGCACTCTTCTGACCGCACTTCTGGCACTCAGTGTTCGCTGCAATGAGTGCCGGGAGTTGTTTGGGATCAATCACCTGCTGCTCATCAAGAATGAAGTGCAGGTGCTCTATGGTATCGTTTCCATTACAGAACGAACACTCGTCTCCAGAAGTGTTCAATACTTTCAACAGTTTATCACTTTTAGCCAAAGGAGACAATACCTCCAAATGCGAGGACTCATGACTTTCATTGTCGGACTCAATGCGATGACCGTTAGAGTGACTCGAGTGGCGATTATTGGCATTAATGGCCGCACAGTCACCGATGTCTAGTTTGGGCTTCATTTGCAAATGTCTTCGCAACAGATACTCCTTTTCTTTCTTCAATACAAATACAGTGAATATGGCATCAAATGAATGCATTGAACAGAGACTCACATCAATATAGAAATCCTTCTGTTGTTTGTCCGCTTCAGTCGTCGCGAATCCCACCGAAAGCGAAAATAGTGATTGACTTCTAATCAATTGAATGGCGTTCAGCGCCTCCTTATAACTATTAAAGTCTACAAAACTGATCCCAAATTCATGGTTACCATCGTTTAATATACAATATTCTGTACGACAACTAACTATACCTATAATATCGTCCCAAACGACTCTTCACTCTCTTAACCGTCGATGGCTTACAACCGATGCGTTGGAGATAACCCTTTAAACCACTCTATAATTGATTTGAAATTATTTGAATAAATTGTTAAAAAGCAGAAAATGAGACCAAAAAGCAAGCATTGACTGAATGGCTCATCAAATGAGTAAAACGAGACCTAAACTCATGTTTAAATAGCAATACAATGCGAGTTGAGTTGAAAGTGTGAACATTGACTGTGAGCCCAGTTATAACTCGCGGCACAAATGGTCTCACATTTCATTAAACACAGGCTTTCAGTGAAATTCATGTGAATTGAGTTCAACTCTGGCTATAAAGCAATGCAATAAACGTGTGAATCAAAGGTCACACGAAAGCCATGAAAATGTTGGTGAAAGTGATACTCACTTCAGTTACATCTTCAGGAAAGCCATCGATGTATAGCTTGACGTTCTCACGAGTCTTAGGCCGTGACAACTGACCACTAATGCAATGCAAAGGCAATATAATTAAGGGACAGTCGTATCAATAGTACGGCTAACGAGTGAAAGGGAGACAACTTTATGGGCATTAAATTAGCACTAATTAGCGAATGCATGGCAAACAGACCCAAAGGGAGGCAACAAGTGGACGGGTAGGTTAGCGCCTGTCTGTCCACTACTGTAACTGTTATACCAGACGCTATTGAAGGCGTCACTCATGGGGTTCCAGTCATCCATGTCTTCACTCATTATCACATGAATCGAGTCCAACAAACAAACCAAATTAAGACTAACACTACCATCAAATGAGTACAAATGGTAAGGTTTGCTACAACTAAAAGCAATGTCAATGTGTGGCTGACATCGACATCATGTCTACAATGGTGTGAATGATATGCACCACAAAAACGAGTAAATAATTTATAAATCAATTAAAAAGTGGTTTAAATTGAAAGCATTGTCTGGAATGGCGTCCAAACTATTGTCTTAAGTGCTAAACAATCAAATGAAACGACAGTCACATTTGGGCACCAATTAACACATTATCACAGCGTTTGTCATCAAATATAAATCAAATGGACATTCAGTTGACGTTAACTTACATTTGAATGAAGCGTTCATTTAGTGATTCATTGGATTAATGGATGTCTTAATGAATCCAATGATTAAACGGTTGATCCGTTCAATACCTGCGAAACCAATGAACGCATTGAACGCATGTCTCCACTGATAGCCACTTAAAAGGCGGCAAACGATACATACAGTCACTCCTCGCTATACCTCTTGTTTGTCACAATTTGTTGCAAATTATATTTAATTTAATTAAAAATTTAACAATAAATCTATTTTTGTGTTTATGATTAGTTAAATTGAATAATTGCTTAGTTTATGGTTTGTTATAGCAATGCATTTATAGTGGTATTAATGAATGTATTTGACTGTACATAGGGTTTGATGAGTGTTTAGTGCGCATGCGTTGTATCACATAATACATGATGACATCAATGACTGTTTATTTCATGGATTGAGTGGTGAGTTAGCCTGAGATATGGACTCAAATGCAGTGATCAGTCAATTGAAAGATCATATCATTACCAGTGATTTGACACTCAAGACACTCATCAAAGTGAGACACAAACCCATCACTTATTATATCCATTAATTGTCTTCATNCATCACTTATTATATCCATTAATTGTCTTCATTTCAGGACATATTAGACTGCAATACAACTGATGGCGACTTAAATTACTTGATCTCATGTGTCTCACAACGGATCCGTGTCTACAAGAAGTCTATCGATGTACCCATGATTTGATCCATTGATTAGATGAATAACAAATGCATTGCTTTAGGATTTGGTGAATACATCGAAAGAGGTGTCAAATGCATCGACGAAGAAGTCGTTGGACGCAGAAATCGATGGCTTCCGCAACCAATTGGAGGCAAACTCTATAGCCCTGAGGAAAGCGATCGCTTCCAGTCAGAAGTCCATCACTACGAAGACAAGGGAACAGCTGTTTGGCACTGACTCTCAACAGACAGCTCTTAGACAGAGGAATGGGTCGACAGTTAACAATGAGGTGTTGGCCACCAAATCGACGGCCATTACGGATAACCTGAAGACAGTGAGCCGTCTGTTGGCCTCTCAGGTGACCCAAAGTGAGCACACTTTGCAAACCCTGATCGGCTCGTCAGCCACTGTC